TACCAAATTGGAGTTATTAGTAGGAGGGTGAAAATTTATGGTTGTATGTATTTTTTAGTTCTATTTTTTTGACGTTTGTTAAAATTAAAATTAGACGATTTACTAGGTATAACGATAGAGTGTTCATTCGTTTTCAACGATGTGTAATAAATCCTCGGAAAACTTTTAATCACTCATAAATTAATTTATATTTTATTGATTAAGTCAATTATTTACACATATCGGGAAGTTCATGTAACTTTCCGCAAGGCAAAATACCAATACCAACTAGTTTTTTCATCATTTCTAAAATGAAGTTTAATATATAAATAATTATAGACCCTAGTCATCATTAGTATAGTGTTAGTTCATATATATTCATCAGACAACAGAGTAATTAAAATCGAAAGATTTACAATATATAATCTTCCAAATACTGTGCTAGAGATGTTTTGGTTAAATTATAATCAATCAATAAACAATAATCATTATTTATTCAGATATCAAATATAAGACTACTTATAAAAGTTTGAGTAGTTTTACAAATACCTGATTATTGTGATAATCTGAGCTTAGAATTAAAAATGTAACATATGAAATGCAAAAAATTGTAATGATACTTTATATGTAATATGAAACTAGTAGTTGGATAAAATGAGTTATTTAAAAAATTAAGCTTTAATTAAAAAAATATAGAGCAAACCGATTATACATAAAATAATAAGGATGATTTTATCCGAGTTTAATGTGAAAAATAATGATCTATATTTATTTTCAATTATTATATTCTTTAAGTGTCATATACCACTACACTGCCAGGGCAAGACTAAAAAATTTTATGTTACATTAAAATATGTCAATTTCCAAAATCTCTGACAATGGTCACAAAATTGTATATTTTTATAGTTTTTTTATCCTAGTTTAGCTTATTGTGCATTTCAGAGCAGATGTAAAAAAAAACTAAAATTTGTTCAAGCAAAAATTTAGATTTGTAGTTTAGTATGATTGAGAAACCCTGTGATAAACTTTCGTACTAGGGACTTGGCAAAGCACATTTATCACGATAAAAGAAATCCTAGAAATGAAAAAGTCCGAGACTGAAACATAATGAAGAGTTAAGAGATCGCCGAGGTTCGCATATGTGGATAGGCGCAATTACATATGCGTTAGGTTTGCAACAGATAGTAAAAGAATTATAAGTAGAATTAAACACCTGAATTGCATGATGTTTAACCTCAGAATTCTTCTATATTTGAACAAATAATGAATCTGTTCAAATACTCCAAATCCTTATTTTTGCAAGAGTTTCCACCACCCCATTCCCATACGCTCATATTATTACCCATATCACAGTGCGTGTACGAGACGAGAAGACTTGATGAATTCAGTAAGAAGAATGGCATGTTTGCTTTTTTTCCACCGAACTTGGGGGTGAGATCTATGGCAAACAATAAAAATGTTATGTACACGCGTGTTTTTCCATTACGAGTGTTTTGTGGAGAGTTCTCTGCAGGAGAAACGAACGATAAAAAATGATAGATAGAAGTGTCTTCACGTGCCTTGCATGTAAACAAATTATGATATAAAGAAAAACACATGTTTAAAAAATACTGAACGATATGACATAAAAATGGTAACAAACACACAAGGTTTAGGTTGTCAGAAAGTTTTTCCGACGTCTTTACTTAGTAATGATGTACAAGTACGTGTTTACAGCTATATTAGTAACTAGAATTTTGGGGCTACAAATCGATTGTTGCTATTGATATAATATTATATACATTTTTGTATGAAAATATCTATATTATTTAACAAAAAGAAGCGCAAGAATCCATGACTTATTTAATAGATGTAATCGAAAATTATATACTGAACGTAAGTTCTCAAATTTCCAATTATTAATTCATATGAAAAAACAACAAGCATACTAGAATTTGACAATCTTAAAATTGTAAGTAGTAAATGAAAATGAATTGAAAAAGTAAATTAAATCATACTAAATAAAACTAGTGTGGGATACTATAGTTTTATTTATTACGATTTAATTTAATTTAAATCAAACAAATAAATACATGAAGTTAGCAGAGAGGTATACGATCAATTAATTTTTTTTTTCGTTATTAGAGATACAATTTATTTAGGTATTTATTCAAGAACTAATATTTACCAAAAATATCTATGCATGTATAACAAGGAAACTGTAAACATTATAATTACTATACAAGAAATTCTGAGTAATCCAACAATGCAAACTTTTCTCAGTTATGACATTTTTAGTAGCTGCATTATTCCTCCACTAATTTATTCAAAAACCGCTGTTTTATAAAGTTTTACTACTTTAACTAATTTTATACAAAAAATCACCCGAGAGAAGGATTAAATAATATAATAGAACAAAATTATACAAGATTGTGTTAATTTGTTAAGTATAAGGCTACATCACGTACTTATTTTGTAGGTACTGATATTAAATAAATTCATTAACAAAAGTATATAATATAGTTGATAGTAGGTATCTAAAGTATTGAGAATAATATTTAACTACAGATGCACGTTTTATACCAATTTGCTACATCTATTTCACTAAGCTTCGCGAATTATTTTGCTAAGTTTATAATTTTTATTTATTTTTATATCTTTTATTTATTGATCTTTCTTCCAATTTGAGACATCGTATTGCAAGTGCTCACATTATATGGAATCCAATATAATATTGCAAAGATAGTAACCTATATTTAGCCAAATCAAAAAAATTAGTTTGTCTTTCAATTATATTAGGAAATTAACTTTAATTATTATTGGTCTTATTCATAATATCAGTACCATAAAACATGTCTGTTACCAGTTGTGTTTCTAAGTCTGCATTTAATTTTCATCATCATACTTTTGCTGACAATGATTATAAGAAAGATAAATTACATAAGTCATGAGAGACAGATATTGTTACGAATTCTGGGGAAAAATAAGTGGACGAAAAGACATCTCAAAAACCGTGTGTTTCATATGTTACATTCGTAATATAAACGTTGCTCCATTTGGCAAGAAATCTTTTCTCATTGTATGAGGATATTTTGCTACTCGAAAAAAAACTACTACTTACTTACTACTTGTATACTAAAGATTCGAAAAATATAATAATAGATAGGTGAAGATATTCTGCCCTAAAAATTTATTTATGCAGTTCTAATGCTTACTTTTTTAAAATTATTACTAAATGTGTTAGGTACTAACAAAGTTGTTTTTTTTTAAATCACAAGATTATTATTTCTAATGCTTCCAAAAATTGCATTAGTAAGCCATGTAAAAAAGTCATTACAAAATTGTAAAAATCCCTAAGAATATATTCATTATTTGCTAGAATCAATCACACCAATTTAAGTATCTTCTGTTTCATTGATAATTCACTGTTAAAACTACAAATAAATTGGCAATTTATTATTAAATAAAAATCACAAACTTAGTAACTTAATAATTCTGTTAAAAATTGCATTTCTAAGCAATATGAAAATTATATTAACATTTGGAAATTTTTTATGTATATACAGAATTCACGATAGTAAAGTACAACCATTTTTCCAGAAACTTTATTCCAATTTTCTAATGAATTTATTAGGCATCCATTTTACTTGATATTTTCCTAATGTTTATAATTTTGAGGAACTTAGTACATGTTAAATGCGATTTATTTAGTCCTAACTTTTTTGAAAAATGTTTTTCATTTCCTTCATTCTGTGATAAATTTCGAGGCCCTAAAATACGTGGTATATCTTAAAATGCCATAAAAGTCTTATCGGTGACTTCTTTAGGCGCGAATACTCATCTAGATCGTATTTTACTTCTTGCTTTTCATTATATACATATATATATATATATATATATATATATATATATATATATATATATATATATATATATATATATATATAAATATCTGACCTAAAACGTCGCGTATGTTTCTTTACTGTGATTTTTACGAATTAATGAATTCCTTTGTTCGCGTACATTAGCAAAGGAAGCAGATTTGACTCATTTTTCGAAATGTAACATTGAACAATGTAAATAAAAGTTAATAAAAGACTCTGTCATGTATAGAACAGAAAGTCATATGTCTCTAGAATAAACCCCAAAGGAAATGCCTGTGACAAATGGACTATTTTTTATGTATCTTGGCGTTATTATTTCACGAGGATAAAGGATATATTAAAAGAGTGTTAAATTAAATATTAACTATTTTATTGTTCTGTATTTTTGTTAACATATACTAACTATAATTGATAGGTTCTTCTAATAGCTTATTTATTTTCTATTACATCGTACGACTGTGTTTGTTCTTGGGTGAAAATCTACTTTATGCAAGTGGTTTCTAAGCCTTAATCGAGAATTATCCACTCAACATCCTAAAGCCGATTAAATTAAACATAAACAGAGCTATTGGGCGTTGACCAAACAATTTCCGTAATATCGAGCTTTCACACAAGCGTCTTGGTCCAGGAACGTAATCAACACATTTGCCTTACACATTACTCTTGACCAGAGAGACCAGGACGATAGTAGAAATCATAGAAAACATATTTTATGACTTAACCATGTGTATCAATCCAAAAATGTTGGGTTATATTATTATGAATGACTTTTACCTATTTGGAATCCTATCTGAGCCGTTGGGAAAAAAGAAATTCGAAAATATCCATATTAAGGACCAGTCTAATATATACATATATACTAGTTTGGAAATATTAACAAACAACACTCTTTTTTGCACTAATTTATTAAATAATAATTTCCACAAACGTTTCGAGACTAGGTTTGTCTCATCATCAGTAAGTTATAATTGAAAATTTAAAATATGGAAACCTAAATTAGCATTATGTGTTATCCGTTACAAGTCGTTCAGTATACTGTCTTCAGCCCCACCAACGATCGTCGGTGTCCGAATTCTCTATTCATTTCAAGTGTTAATATATATATATATATATATATATATATATATATATATTAATAAATTATTATTTTTGTTTCAGTTTGAACGTTTGCGCCTCGGTTTCGAAGTGACCACAGTCCAAGACGTGCTCAGGTCCTGCCTGTCCTGGTTGCAGTCACGTTCGCAAGCTCTTTCAGGAGAATTCGAAGCAGTGCTTCTATTCATTCTGGAAGTTTTGGAATATGTTGAAAATAATAGAGCAGAACGGACCGTCACGAATTGCCATTTAGCTCTGGAATGTGCCAACGAGATTCTGCGCCACGACGACGGACTCATCTCATCACAGGTGAGATGTCGTTGGAAGGAATAGGAATTTTAATATTTTAGAAAGTTTATAACCTAAATATAAAGCACGAGATTTTTTAATTTGAAATAAAATTAAAATTGTATTTATAATAATTCCATTGCAAGTAATGCAAAGGTTCACAATATAAAAATATGGGTCGATTGGATAATCCGTCGCCTATTTTTTTTCTAAGCAAAGTAATATTATTGAAATAACTAGGTGAATATATATGTAATAGTGCAAAATTATAGATAAATCGTATAAGAAAATTTTTGAACTTATTTACTACTTGTAAAGAAACAGCTCGACCGATCGTCACGAAAAACTCGAGTCCTTATCAAATGTTTTTAAAAAATTTCAATTGTTTTCAAAAGATCGAAGCTCCAATTATACACACCCATATTTTAGATCATCAAGCTGGAAAAAATCAAGCTAGAGAAGTCAGAAATAATGTCCTGACATAATGTCATTAACGTGCTGCTAATATTTTAAACTTCTTTCAAAATCCTATTTAATCTAATGCTAAATTAATTATTAGTATCAATAATGAAAATAAGCTCCTATATTTTTCGCTTTTTTGTACATAATTGTACAAGTTTATGAATGGAATAAAATCACGTCAAACCCAAATTATCATTAAAGAAGTTAAATGGTGGGGTACATGGCATCGCGCCTTAAGGCAAATTGCTGAAACTTCCCGTACCAACATTTTTTTTGAGAAACTATAAATTTTTGACAAAAATTTACTTTTTTGAAAAAAAAAGACTTTTTAAAGAAATATTTATTTTGAAATATTTTGGAAATTCTGACCCTTTTTTCAAAACAATCGTACTGCTTCAACTGCACAGAGACGAAATATCGAAGCGCGTAAGCGCCGCGTTGCCGTATAACGGATAAACATTGATACGGAACCCATAGGAATGCAAACAAAATTTATACTTATTGGTAAAATCTTTATAAAATATCTGATAATTTGATGTGCATATGTCTAATGATTTTTGACGGCCAAATGACATTTTTTTTACTTTTTTTACTAGATCACCGAAACCGCTAGACCTGCTTGTGAATACAAGTAAAATTTTCTTTGAATTATTCAAATCGGACGCTTCGTACTCTTAAAAACTGAGGCACTTTTTGCCCCATGTCTTCGGAACGGCTAGATCTGCCTTTGCCAGAAACTAATCAGCACGTCCCCTTCAATCAATACGAATCGAATGTTTTTTGAATTATTCAAATTCACATACACACATACACGCACACACACACATACATCCATTTTTTCTAAAATATGCCAAAATGTTCAGAAGGTTTTGCAACATAAAGATATATAAAAATTTTCATTTTCGATTGTTTTGCGATTACTAATACTTGCCCTATGGGAAGTTAATAATATTATAACAAATGCCCATTTAGTATACAATGTCCCTTCAAGGCTGACAATTGTAAATTCCCCAAATTTATTAAATGTCCTTAACTCGACAGTTGTAAATAAAATAGAAACTAAAAAAAACTCAAAATAAAATATAATAATAATTAAAAGCTACGAATAAAATATATGAATCATCAGCAAAATGCAAGAATTGACAAAGATCATAGTATTTAATGCCCAGAGATTAGAACCTTGTTTCATGGATTTTGATAAAGTTTAATGTTGAAATAAAGCATCGCTATAAATAAGATAATGAGAATTATTTATAGTATATAAAATAGACTTCATAAAGAGTTTAATTTTCAATAACCATATAACGAAATCTCTTGCATAGCATTTATTACTAAATTTACGCCATTGTTTCATATACATATAAAACATATTAGCCTGATTTAGAGCATAGATTTTATTTAAAAAGTTAGTTATAAGTCATCATCATCATTTTTTTAAGCAGCGTCCAAAGAGTATTAAGAATAAACAAATTGAATATTTTTATGATCAAATTTCTAAATTAAAAAAAAAATTAAATAAAGTTTCATCTAAGCGAGCTATATATAGAAATATTACATTATTAAACTAATGCCCTCTAAAATGACAATCCTTTACCATTTTTTTACAGAGCGTGCACCGACTGAAGGAATTCGTAATAGCGTCCGGCCGTACCTTATCCGAGGCGAGTCCTCTGACGACGCATCCGCACGCCCTGAAAATGAGCGAACTTTGGGTGGATTACGGCGGCGTCGAGGGGGTGCCCCAGCGCCTCCTATTATCTGGCAGCGCACCTGAGTGAGTTTAATTAACTTATCGCACCTTACTCGAATAATGCTCTCGATGAGTTTGTCTAGGGAGACGTACTAATTTTAGTTGCATTTTGTTTACTGATCGGCTACTGTTATTATACATTGGCGTAGAAGATTGAAGAGCTTATGTAATATAATGATTAAGTGTTAGTAAACACTTTGTGAGGCACGATATGAAAGCTTGCTAGAGTACGAATTTATATTAGTAGTTTGCATATACAGTAATATCCCGTTTTACGAGCGATTAGTCATACGAGTTTTTCCTGATTGTATATGTTCTGAATCAATTATTTTCATGTTTATAAACAATTTTATGTTCATAAACAATTATTATTTATTTGAAGTTTTACTAGTAGCTATTAATATTCATAAATTTATTTTTCTAAAAATAAGGCGTTAAAAGTGTGAGCAATTCAAATATAGGGGTATTCTAGTGTAGAGCAATTAATTTTAGGTCATTTTTAAAGTGTTGTAAAAGAAAGCAATGAATGTTTTTACTTTCCATTCTTTACCACTTGTTTATTAATATTATTAAAATACAAAACAAAAATTAAAAAATAAAAAAGTTGAGAATTGTAAAAACTGGCAGCTGATGAAGGGGGTGGTCTCAAAAAATTGGCACCTCAGTCTTGACATGATTTCAGCCCTCCTAGCCATCGGAAATGCAAAAAATAAAAAGATTATTAATCTACAATGATGTCGCGATCGTTTGAACTAGCGATGAGTAAAAAATTTTTTTTTTACAAATTGGCGACTGTTTGAAAAAAAAAGTATTTTTTACTGTTTTTTTGAGTTTCTCGATTTTTTTAAAAATAGTAAAAATTGGAATTTAGGGATAATCCTAGTTTGGGCTATAGATAGGTCTATAAACAAGACTCTCTGAACATTTCAAGTGAATCGGTCGACTAAAACTTGAGAAATTGTGTCAACAGTACTAAAAAAGTCTGTTCTGAAAAAAACGCATTTAAAGTTTTGCGTGAAGCCAAACCAGTATGCAGACCGAGTCAGTAAAATACTTATATCTCCGAAAATAATTCAAATTTTCAAAAACCTTCATGTACCCATATTCTCATATAGTTAAACTTTGAAAATATGAAATACAAAAAATCGATTTTTTTAAATTTCTACACTAGAATAATAAAAGCTTAATTTAAAATAGAAGCATTTCTGAAAAAATAGATGAAAAATCATTATTATCAGGAATCAAAATAAATTATTTCAAATTTCAAGTAAAAATAAATAATAATGTTTTTCTTATATTTTAAATGACGTTTGAACAGGTGAATGACACACCCTTACCCTCGTATATTTGAAAAAAAAATCATAATTATTTAATTGGTTTGTATAAATCGATTGCAAAATAAATTAATTAAAAAAATAGTTATTTTATATACTTTCTCTGATGATAAAAATATTTAAAATATTTTTTAAGAGAAAAGATAAAGATATACACTAATATGTTACTTCAAAATAACAATTAAAACGTATGATTTGCAGAAGAGTATCATTGAATAATGGTAATATTTTAAATGATTTTTCAGATAGTTTGTTAGGCATAAACAAAGGACACGATGAGTGAGCTTCTCCAATATATAATAATTTTCTTCAAAATATTAAATTAAGTTTTAAATTTGATTTGAACAACTGAACATAAATATCCATAAAAAATCATTGAACATTGCCCCATGCTGGCTCACAAATTTCCTAAACGACAACTTCCGAAAAGCATGAAATATCTACAATCTTTGGCACCCGCTTCATAATTACAATTATGAAGTTAAGCATAGTCACTTCCTTTAATTATATTTGAGGAATCCCCGTAATTAACCGACTTCCAAGTCACACTGAAGCATGAAATGCCCCTTGGATAGGCCGCCTATCATTACGCACACACATTTTCGGGAGAAAATGACCTACGGCGCGTTTATTTCGGCAATAACGTTTTTATTGCGTTTTACGCAGCTTTGAGTTTATATCCTTTACTTAGTCAGGGTTAGTTTGACATGTTGCTCACAAATTTTATACTTCATAAAGTTGCTGTCATAGGTAGTAGGATTTCCGATGTGTAACAATCCAATCAGAATAGTAAAAAAATAGTTGGTAACATTTTTATCAATAAAGTGTATATATGGAATACCACGCAGAAATAAATTTTCCACGACCTTTATGAATATTAAACCCCATATCAAATATAACTCTAAACACCAAGCCTGCATTATATACTCCAAAAGTCCGGAGAACAGATCGAACGGTCGATATAATATAAGATTATGGAAATGCGGCAAAATTTCTCAAAGACAAAGTTCCATCAAGTTTTAAGTGATTCTGTATGTTCTTTGTTTATCACACAGAACCCAGTTTTCGGAGGACTCCGTCTCTGTGATGCTGGAAGATAACGAACACAAGGCCATCAGCGAGGATCCTTGTACCGTAGTTTCTGTGACGTATCGAAATATCACCAGGATGCTTTCAGGGGTTTATGTCACCAGAAATGAGTGAGTAGAAAGGAACAAATATTTCAAATCTTGTTTGTCACAAATTATGAATTTATTTAGGAAACTATTTTTCTGGTTAATATTAACAAATCTGGAATAGGGAACGGGGTGAATGGTGACTTGATTTCTAAAGTGATTTATGAAATAGAGATTTTTGTTAAGCGATGTTGCATGTATTTTTTATTCCAAAATATATAAAATTAAAATTAAGAAAATTTGTTCCAAATATAAAAAGAAATGGTTAGGATGGGCAACCCTTGATAAAAATAATTTGTCTTTAATCCCAAGAAAATCTGAATTGAAATTCGGTAAAAAAATATGCACTGCGTGGAAGCAGGATGAAAAATTATAAAATAGCTGTTACAAAATAAAGAATTGTGGTAGAAGGGTAAAAATTTAGGGCTACATGTGTGTTTTAATTACGAATTAAGAAAAAATAATAAAAAAATTGGTTCTTAAACTAAAAAAATTTTAAGGCTGGTCAATCTTTACTACGTACGAGTATGAGAAATAGATGTTGCCCTATTCTCAGTCACAGTGAACCTGATGATTGTAAAATTTCATCAAGATCGGTCAAGCCGTTTCGGAGGAGTATTACCACTAACATCATGACACAAAAATTTTTTAGATATACTTTTTTTTATTTCACTGCTAACAAAGGTATTCAGTAATTTTAGTGACCTGTTTGCATTTTTAAGATTTCAAAATGCTACTCAATGGTAGACATTCTGAATTTGAAGTTGATTAGATAAAAATAAAATATCAACCAAGCAAAGACTGAATAGCTTGTTCTTTTGAGTCATCTAATAATATTTGTGGATAGCAGATTTTCAACGAATTGATTTGGATTGCTTTCCAATCTAGTCTTATACTTCAAGTTAAATGCAAACCTTCTGATCTCCTTTGTCACCATATATAATACTTTCTGTTCTTTTGGTGGATAAGCCAATACATATATTTCAAAACAAATTTCCAAAAGCAAACAAGTACATCTATTCAAAATTTGCAATCTTTGCAAATACATAAATGCTTTAATGGTTTCAACTTTTTTATATTTTTTTCCTCTTCGCAACTGATATATCAATTGCATTGTAATGTCTCTTCGCTCTATATTACCTTCTTGACCATATTTAGCCAATCCAGTTTCCTTTTCGTATCATTATCATGTCACATTAGTTTTAGTTTTTAAATTCTAACTGATATAAAAATAATTCTTAAAAAATGTTTTCTATTGAAGAATTTGTTAATAGATAATTTACAATTTTACAGACTGAATGCAAATAATCCACAAAAACGGTAATTATCAGAAAATCTCCCAAAAGCATTTATAATAACAACAATATGAACGTCAATAAGCCACAATATATTAAAATTTAATTGTATCAAGTACATTATTTATTTAAAGTTATATCTAGTTCAAAACTAACAAATCTGTTATTTACCAATCACCATGATATATAATCACCATTATATATTACTCTCTGTGGTAAACCTATTTACACATTTGTCATGGAAACAAAATTTTGTGTTAATTACATTTGTATAGTTATAAATAAATATTTGAGAAACATGAAACCAAAGTATAAGCATCATGATTCAATAATGGCTTTATAAACTGACAAAAAATAAGCAAATCCAGCTTTACTGTCGCTTAAAAAACAATATAAATAAAACTATAGGGTATAGGTTTCGACAGTATAATAAAATGCTCTTAAATCCCTCCCTATGTGGAAGTACGGCCTAATGGAACGATTTAAAGAATATATGGGTGAACGAACATTGAAATAAATACTTATTTATATATATATATATATATATATATATATATATATATATTAATTTGGAAATATGAACAAACAACACTCTTTTTTATACTAATTTATTAAATAATAATTTTCACAAACGTTTCGAGACTAGGTTTGTCTCATCATCAGTGTGTTATAATTTAAAATTTAAAATTTGGAAACCTAAATTAGCATTTTGTGTTATCCGTTACAAGTCGTTTGATATACTGTCTTCTGCCCTACCATCGATCGTCGGTGTCCGAATTCTCTATTCAATTTCAAGTGGTTAGTCACGCAATATCAGATAGGAAAGAAAGGATTAGGTTCCAGTTGAAAAATAGATGTCGTTAAAAGAAAAAATATTCTATGAAATGTGAAGGTTTGTTTATATAATATGTTTTAATTTCCTTTCCTATCTGATATTGCGTGACTAACCACTTGAAATTGAATAGAGAATTCGGACACCGACGATCGTTGGTGGGGCAGAAGACAGTATATCGAACGACTTGTAACGGATAACACATAATATTAATTTAGGTTTCCATATTTTAACTTTTAAATTATAACACACTGATGATGAGACAAACCTAGTCTCGAAAGTTTTGTGAAAATTATTATTTAAAAAATTAGTGCAAAAAAGAGTGTTGTTTGTTCATATTTCAAAAATAATATCTATTTATCCACTCAGAATACATTTGTTATAACAAATACTGATGTCCAGCTATAAATAGTTCATACATCTCTGAGATAAATAAACACCACCATACGTCCAATCATCAGTTTGGCATTCCATTTAGACATTCTAAGTACTACCAAAAATTTGCTGATTTGTTTTAAAATAGAATAGATGAAGATGTTGAGACAAATGAATAATATATCAAGTATCCAGACTTTCTAGTACATACATACTAATTTCCTATGCTATTTATTTTCCCTTTCCCCAGGGAGGGTGAAGAAATAGAGTACAAGTACATATCCCGTCTGGTCTCCGTGCAAGTTTCGGGTTGTTCCGCTAATTTTCGGAGCAGCGTAGTTTTTCGGCACTCTAATCAGAGTTTGTCCCCGAACGATGGATGGAGTGCCGAGTGCGCGCAGAGGAACTCAGGTACCGACTGGAGGTATAATGATACAGGTGCAAGTGCAGGTTGCAGTTCAAAGTCACTCAGCCAAGATCTAACGCGGTGTGATTGCTTAGGTGGAGGAGAAATTGCATTGTTGGCATTCAAAATGCAAATACAGGTGAGAAAAATTATGTCCTTATTTGGTTATTTCTTTAATTCTTCAAAACTGCAAGCAATCAGTTTTTGACTGTATATACAATTTTATTTATTTCACCATCTAATTCACAGCTGTCCTAAGTCGAGATCTAGTAAAATCAACTGTATACATAGTTTTTTTTATCTTTATTGTCATTTGATTTTAATTTATTTAACCATCAAATATCAGATCACCCACATATAAGTAGTTGATTTTTTTCAATGTTTAAATTAATTATTACTTGAACTTTGCTATAAGTTAAGAATGTCTCATATGTTACATGAAATATAATCCATTTATTGGTCATTTAAAGAATGTGAACAATATTGGTACTAATTATTAATGGTCCTCCAATGTGCTTGGTTTTCCCACACAACTGATTTTCTGAAGTACCCAAATTAAATACTTTTTATCACATCTAGTAAATATACCGAAAGACCCAAATTTTCGGCGGTATTAATACTTAAATATAGTATTAATTAAATAATATTTACCTTAAAATTATCTGTATTTTCGGTATAGAAATATGAGCGCTGGTTGATACAAGTTACACTTGAGTTCAAATTTCTCAAAACCATTTCAACTTTGTATCTCATAACCGATCAAAACAAATGTATCTTTTGATCGTTCTATTGTATAAACAACTATTATCTCGACTGAATATTTATTAATTTCCAATGAACTTCATATCGTATCTCAATAAATAGGATCGCACTAATAATATTGTTTTCATTATGACGATTTTCACGCCAAATGCTTGCTGAAATTTAATTATTCGATGGCATTGATATATCCATTGTTATATATATATATATATATATATATATATATATATATATCGATTCAATAATTTGCATAAAGCAATTTCTGCTTTGACGCTATTTCGCATCAAGTTTTCACAAAAGGATTATATTCTACTATTTTATTTTTTTTTATTTCATTTGGAATGAATCAATGATATAATCCACATTTTTTTAAAGTTGTGAATAAATATAATCTGATTTAATATGCTTACGTTTTTTTTAACTAATTTTTAATGAGCGTTTTCATATATGGGTTAGGTTAGTTAATAATCTGTAATATGTAATAAATTTAGTAAAACTAAAGAAAACTATTAACAAAATATAAAAATTGAATATCATATATCAATGAAATATATTATTTTTTATGATTGTTATTATTATTTTATTTATTGAAATTAGCAATCAGACTGGTATCAATTCAGAAGTTACTACGAAAAGATTAAATACAGCTAATTTGATAATAAAATATATAAATCACTCTAATGTAGAATTTTTCAATTGAGCCTAAGCCTGAGGTAACTCACTTAAATTATCTAAAATATTTATTTTAATTTTTTTTAATGATTCCAAACAGAATTATAGATTTCTGAAGAAACACTGGCATAATTCAAAACCTTAGTCAAACTTTACAGTCCTGCTCAAAATTCAAAGTTCAAAAATATTAATTTAATGATTTTCAACAAAAAGTGACCATCGCTTTAATATTACTAAAAACTAATTTTACATGCATTTTTTTATGAATTTTGATTTTTTGATGATTTAGCTTAGTATAATACAGAAAAATATTTTCATAACTGTAGTTATATTTTTAAAATATTATTTATTGCTACCAAAAAGTTCCAATCGATACATAATTACTGAAAACTGATTTCTAACAAGTCCTTGCATTTGTAGTATGTTTGTTAATTCTGATGATTTAGCTTAGATTAACAAAGAAAAATATTTTCATATAGTATCTTTCCTCTGTTCATTATTTCACAAAAACTAGCAACTTGATTACACGTCCATTAATTATTCCAAATTTTTAATTTTTTTTCAGAAAAGAAACGAGATACCGTCCGCTCCGTACAAATTGGCGTTTGTGGGCGCCTGCTGTTGTTTTTTGCAGAGCAGTTTATGTCTTCTACTTCTGATGGCGCATTTTGTTTTATGCAGATGTTATATTACTTATTTCAAGATGCAATGTTGTGCTTCTACGGCTATTACTAGTGCACTTTTGGTCTATGTCTTAAAATCTCAACCAGAACAGGTAATAATAGAAATATCATACGAAAAATACAATGTATACATCGAAGATGATTCTTGGTAATCGACAATGCATGGTGTAGCGATGGCATCTTGTTAATAGTTTTACAATCAACATATTTAAATCTTAAGCTAATTGGATTTTTAACTTTCAATTTGAACGCAGTTCTGAAGATTTGTTCATAAATTATTGGAAACAATTGGTTGCTACTTGGGTTAAGCACACAAGGAATATAATAGACTATATAGATTTAAAAATTACCTAATAATTTCATCAAATTTTTATGAATAAATTTACTCAGGATTTTGAGGTTCCAATAAACAAAATTTCTTAGTTTGAAAATGGGTTTGTCAATCGTCGAACAAAAATAGGGCAACAAGAAAAAGAGATCATGTTCGGTAATATTGGAGCATTTCCAATGGATTATTATTTCTCAATTTCATGCAAATGTAACATCATACAAATACAAAATAATTTAAGAAACATTTTGAGAGTGCTCCTGATAAAATATATATATAGCAACACTGATTTTTTAAAAAAAAACGGTCAAATTATTAATATTCGAAGAGTTGTTTTAAATTTCGATCCTTAATATATTACATTAACGTTATATAAATAATTTATGCTTCAAAATGCAATTATTCACATCAATGTATTAACATCTGATATGCAGGTACTATATTGTTGGTGGTTATTATACAAAATGGTTATTATATTTCGTATCAGCATGTATGTGCAACATCAAAATACATTAATGGATATATAGATATTCAGGATCCTCCCTATAGTTGACTATAAACCCATGTCGATGAATAACTTTAATACCAATTTTTTTTTAAATCACATATCATAATGGAATTAAATAAAATCAATCTCCTAATATAAATAAATAAATCAAATTCCATAAGACCTAATAAAATATTGCAAAGTAGAGTTATGGTTTGCCAATAAAAATAAATAACTTTGAGCTTTGAGCTTTACAAGTTTTATATAGGATAGATACAAAAATTCATAAGTTTGTTCATTCAAAGTTTATTGTATGTAATTTCAAAAGTTTGATAAGCAAATAGTAATTTAAAGTTTCGCACTTCTTTGAGCCGGAAGAACTTCTTGCTTCATTAACAATTATATTTGAAATTGTTAAGTAAATTTATTTTAGGTATCTGATAATTCATTATATTGGAATTGAAGTTATATAAGTTCAAATGATTTGCAATAATAAGAATGAAGAAAAATTCAATCAAGCAATTGCATATATAATTTTTTGGATATGTTGTAAAAAACTTCTTGGTTAGAATTATTATTATATTTCTTTCAATAATTATTAACAAAAAATTTCACAGGTGTGTGTTCCATACGGTGCATGTATCGGAAAATTTGCAAAAAATGTGTCAACGATCTTTACCTTGAAAATAATTTCTTTGTTATATCCAAAATGATTATATCGTAAAATATTCCCACTCATGTAAATTCCAGTCTGCTTTATTACTCCACGTATACTCGTTATTCTTCGCTTGGTAATACTTTATAAGCCTCTTATGTATACTTTAAATATTACATTAGAAATGGAATGCGTATAATGACCCTCGAAAGTCTTGTTTCATTGTCAGCTTTATATCATACGAAAAATTATTAATGATATTATACAGTATTCTTTTAGAGGCGAGATCCTAAATAAATATTATCAGATGGAAGAGGAATAGAATTATACTGCGCAAATCGCGTTCATTTGAATTGTGATATATAAAAACATATTTGTTCAAAATATTCATGTAATTTTTTTAAAATATTTTTATACATATTCATACCAAATCCTACATATCATTGAAATACTATATTTATAACAAACTAGCAAACCGGGCGAACTCCGTTTCACCACCAGATGGTTTCATTTCATGTAACATTTTGTTTGGTGATTAAAAGATCAAGAAAATAATTGCCTGCTGTTGAAATTGAATGCAAATTTGCACAATACACGTGATTGATTTGATGGTTTTCCAATTGAGATGTTAGGAAACGAATAACTTATTTTCTTACATTTTTTGCACAATGTCACAGCGAACACAATGCTGGTTTGTCACATGAAATTAACTGAGCAGAAAACAATGAGTAGCTGTCAAACATATGAGTAGCTGTCAAACAAATGAGTAGCAGTCAAACAAAAAATATTAGTTTATAGTACATGCTAAGTATCAAAGATGACGATGTGTGTGAAAAATGAAAAAGTGTTTTACGCTTTTCTGTTGAAATCTTTCTTCAATTTTCTTAGCTATAAACCTTGCGGAGCCCGAGACCTTCCCAACGAATGCAGAATTGTCGTAATCGGTTTGTGCGTTCTGGAGTTATATCGTCAGGAAGAAAAATCCGACTTATTTTTATATAATAGATAATTATATATCATTTAATTTTTTTCCAGCGTGTGGAGACATTGCCCCTGTGGACCGGTACACTTCTTGCGGCCTCGATGCTGTTGTCGCTGACGTCGCAATTAGGGGCTTTGCTGTGTATATTTCGCACACGGGAATCGGCCAGCCGCGCGACCGTCGGCGTTTGTTGCGGATTACCGGTGTTGTGCGCGTTGGCCGGGCCGCTGGCGCACGCCTCCGCTGGGGAAAAGCACAAGGGATGGGGGTTGCAAGTCGGTAAGTGGTAATAGTTTAATAAAGCTTATAAATTTATACTCATTCAATATAGTATGTAAAATACGAGTATATGTTTTATCTATGTTTCTAAAATTGCCATTATGCACCAACGTTTTGAAAAGAGTATTAAGAGGCACAACTAGTGTAATCGCCTAAAAAAAGGTGATTTTTGGGAATTTATATTAAAAAAAATACTCTATCAATTATTGCAAAATTTTAAGAATATATTTACACATGTTTTAGGAATATATAGTAAAATTGTTGAAGAAAAAAATTAAATATTTTTTAAGTTATCGTCGATCTCCAACGGCGCGACAAAAAAGAGGCCCTTCACTGCTGCAGTGATTCCGGCCTTCTACGTGGATGAAATTAAAAAAAAATTCTCTTTAAACTAGATAATATTTGTCTGTAAAATGACCTACGATAAAAAAAATCAAAAATTGACAAAATGACGGCGTTTTTAAAAAAAAGTCGAATATTACCCAAAATTTTGGTCGTTTTTGGACTGCCAAAATTCGATTTTTGATCCGATCAAAAAATCGATAGTTCATTTTACTGAGAACTATATATAGATAGTGGAAATGCTGTTATGAGAAAAACGAGTTTAAAGATAAAATTATCGTTATACTATATACTATATGTATACTTTTTAAATGGATCAAAATCTATTTAAGATATCAATTTAAAATTTTGGCATGTTATTTTCCAAGGTATAACCTATCGAAATATGAAAAAGTTGAAAATTCGATTTTTTGAAAATTTCACACTAGTTGTGCCCCTTAATGCACAATGCCTTGCACCCTCAGTTTGTATTTCATTTACTAATCCAAAATTAAATATAGAAAATATAAATTGACTGTAATTTTAACAATTCAATTTTCGATTACTGTTTTCGATCGCATTATGATATTGAAGTTCATTACTTTTCAGTTTTAATTTATCTTTTACCTAAACTCTAAAAAGTCAAATATTCTACTTTCAAACATAAACCATCTATTTTTTAATGAATTATACTGAATAGAAATAATTCAATTACCCAATTACTTATTTCAGTTGAGTGGCTGCAATCGCATATTTCCGTTCTTAATTAACATGTTTTTTTTCTTCTACTTAATCAACTTAAATTAATTCTATTTGAGAGAGGAATAATTGTAGAGTTGCGCTCGGTTCATTAAAATATTTTTATTCATCTTATAATATACATAGTAGGTATAGTTTAGCTCTTGAAATTAATATTATTAAAAATTCATAATTATACTCTCTGGGAAATAATCGGTGAATTAGATACAAATATTATAATATTCATATTAAAATGATCAAACAAAATATAATGATTAATGAAACTGAAATTAATGATAGAGGAGAAACGTTAGCGATTTTTTGTTATTCTCATTAAAAAAAATCTGACAAGAAAAGTAAGTAGATTTGTAATTTGACGATTATTCAACTTAATAGCAAATCAAATTAATAAATTTCTTTAAGAACTGTAAAAATCGTTTGAAAAATAACGAAAAAAAATTAAATGCAAAACTATGATTACACACTAATTTTAAACATTAAGAATTATTGTATCTATCAAATTGTTATATATAATTCAAATTTATGTTTTGAGTTCCTAATTCAAAAATTGTATAAACATTACTCATGGAACAAATTTTCTTACAAATTAATTAAATATTGAAGATAATTTTTATAGAATAATATTCTTAAAAATAATTATTGAAAATAAGAACAATATAAGCACTTTATATAAATATGTAAGAAAGAAGAACTTTTCGATGAATTCATTAGTAGAAAAATATCTTTTTGTCCAGATTGCTGGTACTACAAAGAAAATTATCAAAAAATTCAATCAAGAAAACAATGCAATCATTGATAATTATCATACTGTTATAATTTATTATGAAATCGTTTAAAATAATTTTATTTCCATAATTTTTCAGGATCAACAGCATTTCTATTATGCTGTGGGGCTGTTGCCTTGGTATCTTTAGTATTTGCTGCCTTGTATGTAGCTGGGACGAGAAAACTCGATTTGCTCGGCCGAAAACAAGAGGATAAAAATGAAACCATCAGTAGACGGTGAGTAAATATTATTATACAATTAGATTCAGAATTTATTTAGTGATTTACCAAACCCCTAGTCGGACTATTGAGTATTTGGGATAATCGTGAAACCATCAATATTTGTCTTGGTAGTTTAGGATGATTTTTGTGTGAAAATATATTTCAATTCTTTTTTGAATATAATATGAAAACCATTGGCATTTCTTCAATTAGTTTTTAAAATTAAACCGCTTTCCTTAGGCTTCTAATATTTTACACCGATCAATTTGGGCATAAAATTAACCATTAGGTGAAGTTCCATCAAATACCCAGACCAGCTACGAGCTTTATTAGTTATAATAGAGAGAGTTATGTTGACTTAGAAATATTTATGAAATAATATGATAGAATGGAAAATAATAGTATTCTATTTTTTTCAGAGTTGGACTCCTCCGTCGTTCTGGGATATTATTTGCATGTGGTCTGGCGCATGCAGGGAGTGTTCTAGCCTTATTTAATTCCCCACAAGAACCTCATGTGTTGTATTCAGTTGCTGGCACAAGTTTGATTCTGGTAAGTTATATTGCTATTTTGTCACATAAATAAACACACTGATGTTTGGAGCACGTTTTTCATCAAGGATTCATTGCATTGTAAAAACCGAATTTAATTAAAGCTGTGTTTACATGTACCGGAATAAAAGATACTTTTAAAAGTTGTTTTTGTTCTTATTTGTAGTTATTTGTCACAAAATCGTGTAATCGATTTTTTAGAAAAAAATCTTCTACTTCTTACATGTACATTATTTTAAATACACCCGTAAATTAAAAAGTTGTTATAACATTTGTAAAATAATCAAAATGGTATTTAACCTCGAGATTTTTTGATCATATAACATTGGAGCAAATTAGGTCCAATATAGATTAAGGGATATGACTTTTTATACATAAACAAAAAAGTGTATCAGAAATTGTGATGTCTAATAAAATTATCATTGCATTGTTGGAATATTGGTTTTTAATTAAATCCGTTTAATTAGCGAAACCAAATTAATTCAAAATATTAATAAAAGCTTTGCAAGCACAACCGTGAAATTGAATAAAGAAATATTTATGGAGAAGCTCTCCAAACGTACTTAAAAAAATTTTCGATTAAGAAGTAGAAATTATTTGTAGTTCATTTAATAACTTCAGTACTATTATTTGAATTCTAAAAATTAGCGTAATAGAGAAAAATATTTATATGATTGATATTTAAAAATTATAAACGCCTCAAAATATTAATTTTTTAAAATTTATATTGAAATAATCAATAATGATAATTATTTGTTGAATTTAATTTATAAATACAAATTTGTATGTAGTATATTACTATTTGATTTTTTTTTTGGGATCATGAGCACCAGCCCTAAGTATAGACGACAAAGTTTCTTCTAACTATTTACGACAGCGTTGATGATGTGTATTTTGTCTACATAAAGATTAAATTACACTACATAAAAATAGATTGATTTTATAAAGAAATGGAATGATCCTTTTACTTCATTGATAGCATTGTCCCTTAACGTAATTAAGCATATATAAATTTATTTGTTTAAAAATTATTAAAAAAAACGTAATTAAGCATATATAACTCTATTTGTGTTTTCGGGAAATGGAGTATCCCATTCTTCAGGAACAGTCAAAACAAACAATTTTTTTTTTTACATTTATAGTAGCGGTAGTTTAAAATGATCTTTGCGTGATAAATTATTTCAATTGTTTTTTTCAATATAAATCACGTATAGTATGAAAATCACATATTATTCAAGTTAGGAAGTTCTACGTTGAATAATCGTTTTTAATCATGTAATTATTTTGCCTTCGATTTCAGTGTATAATGATCCTTACCTGTTACACCATAAAACCAGAATCGTCAGTAGGACTAAAAAATCTCCAAGAAGCCATAGAGTTTTCAAAAAGCAAAGAAAAGTCAGAATTCAGTCCGAAAGCTAAACACAAACAACTCAGCTGTAAGAACACAATCTTCTTTAAATTCACAATGCCAAAAATATATTTCATTGATAATTTGTTTTTTTTCCTAGTTTTTACCAAGCAGGATGGTGAAATAGAATCAGAAGGCGCAGCTCCACTTCCGAACACTCTGATTTCAGGTAATCTCATTCCCGACAGGAGATCAAATACAACAGACGGCTGCGGGCAAATTCGATGCACCAGAAATGTAAGTCATGTATCTATTACTGATAATAATTGAACTCTGACAATGATGCACTGTGATTAATTAATAAACAGAATGATGATGATGGATGTATTCTCCAAGAACCAGTATATAACCCGAGTCGTAAACTGATTTCAAGATCTTGAGATCATAGATAATTGAAGTAAAGGGTCTGCCATGTAACTTTTGCAGCCATTTTGAATATTTAGCATCCATTTTGATTTTTTGGCATCCATTTTTATTTTCTGGCAACCATTTGAAAGTTAGGCTGCCATTTGCATTTTCCTTACAAGCCAAAACTATTATTTCAAATTAAAAAAAATCCATAGTTTTTTTATAGAATTTTCAAAAAAAAAAGTTATTTGGCGGACCCTATATTAGATTAATATGTGTTTTTTTTAATTATTTTTCAGGTGTTGAGTTCTCTTACAAATTGCGAGTGCATTGAAATGCAAGAACAAACAAGTTCTGATAATGATCCAAGTGAATCCCAGTGGGTGCGTGATCCTCCTTGTTACCAAACAGCATCCACACAATTATTATTATCTCAAGAAAAAGCTGGTGAGTACATATAGAGATAAATATTGTAGAGAGTGTTATTAGAGACAATAAACGAGTACATAAAAACAAATATAAATTAATTCAATCAATTGCTCCAAATTTCTCCATATAATTAATATAATGTTAGAAACATCATTTACATAAAATCTTCTAGATCCATTAGCCAATAAGTTCTGCTTCTTAAAATTTTCATTTTTATTTATCTATGGCGTTTTCGTGAGACTTTCTTCAGACTATATATTTTGTATGAACAACACCTTGAGTAATTTTTCTATAAAGTTTAAATTCATCTTTTTTTATTTTGAGTTGCTTTACCTTTCAGGTGCAAAAATCTTCGCCAGCAACCAGCAATTCCGTGGCGCCCGAGTTTGCTTAGAACTAGGCGTGATGCCCCCAACAGGTGGTCCAGGAGACCCAGGAGGTTTGGTGCTCTGCAGCGTCGACGTAGAACCTCTTTCAAAAGCACCATTGTCACAACAACAAAATCCTTTACTCAGAGGTCTCGATATAATCAAAGAAATCAAAGAAACCCAAGAAACCTCCCCCAGTCCATCAAATTCTTCCACTAAATGTCCACAACCATCAGCAGCACCACCGCCGAAGGAAGACAAAGACGATGTCATGTTGGATCGGATCACACATGATTTAGATTATCTTCTAAATAGAAGTGAAGAAGAAACGCCCAAACCCGTCCCGGTTGTGAAAATTACAAGAAGTTCGAATGAATATCTTGCAGGAACTGTTAAAAGGATGACTCCGGTTCCAGAAGTTGATGAAAGTGGTAAAGACGTTATTATTGATGATATTGCGAGGACGAAGTGCTAGCAGGATAAATGTGTACGTGGTTCAGTGCAAATGTTAATGTTAATTGTAAGCTTTTAATGAAAATAAATGACACAAAGTGTACCTAATCTAAATCCAAAGTGACATGCAAAGTTACGTAAGTACTTTTTGTGAAATGTGCAAAATCAATTAAAATTTTAAGTTATACATCTATTACGTGATTTATTAGTATAATATCTGAACACAGATTCGTATTTTAATATATTTTATCAATATTAAAGTAATATTTTTAAAATATATTATGAAATATTTATTTTATGAACAAGTAAAAATTTTGGTTGCCCCAAATTTCCTAAGTTTTAAATAATAAATATATTCCTAATATTCCCAACACAAATATATGTTTAGATAAAGGGAACATGCAAAATCCAAAAGATATATTTTACTAAGTCAATTCAAATTTTACTAAAATAGTTAAATTTCTTATATATGTAAATTACGACGAATAATAAACTATGTATTATATCACATGAAACAGACCTGTAAACATTTTCAACTTCAAAGTCCAATTTTTCTATATAGCTTATAATTCATATCTCTTAAATTAAAAGACATATATATGTAAATATTGTAAATGTTGTTGAGTTTTTCATGTTTAGGTTATATTGTAAAATCATATTAAATGATCATAAAGTCGAAATAAATAAAAATTGTTCTTGTATATATTGCTCATAATATTTCTGATAATGATCAAACATTTGTAAATTTCCTGAATTAAATCATTCTTGAAAAAATCAATTTTTTTATTATTTTATGTGTGATGTTTGATATAAACTATTTTTCAGCGTGGTTTTGGCAAAAGTTGCAACCTGGTACTTGGAGTGAACATATATCATTGACTTTGGTGGTAATTGAGGATTCATGTACTCAAATAGTAAGATATACACAAATTGCATTCATTCTCATACTATGTTATATTTACAAACACTAGTATATATACTCGTATTTTTATAAGCACAATACTATTACTCATCACCTACTATATACACAAATACGATCACTCATTCACGTACTATTATATTTACAAACACTGTTATATACTCTCGTACTATTATATTTACAAACATGGTTAATTGCTGTGGTACTATTATGTAAACAAATACTATTACTCATTCACGTACTATTATATTTACAAACACTGTTATATACTCTCGTACTATTATGTACACAAATACTATTACTCATTCACGTACTATTATATATTTACAAACACTGTTATATACTCTCGTACTATTATATTTACAAACATGGTTATTCACCTTCGTACTATTATGTACACAAATACTATTACTCATTCACGTACTATATTATATTTACAATCACTGTTATATACTCCCGTACTATTATATACACGAATACTATTACTCATTCTCGAAATTTGTTATATTTACAAACACTGTTATATACTCTCGTACTATTATATACACATACTATTACTCATTCGAGTACTACAATATTTACAAACACTGTTATATACTCTCGTACTATTATATACACAAATACTATTACTCATTCACGTACTATATTATATTTACAACCACTGTTATATACTCTCGTACTATTATATACACAAATACTATGACTCATTCGAGTACTATATTATAATTACAAACATTACCATATACTATCGTACTATTATATACACAAATACTATTACTCATTCTCGTAAAATATTATATTTACAAACACTTTTATATGTTCTCGTACTATTATATACACAAATACTATTACTCATTCTCGTAAAATATTATATTTACAAACACTTTTATATGTTCTCGTACTATTATATACACGTACAATACTACTACTTACGCTCATACTATATCATATTAGAATCATTTTAGATATTAGAATCATATTAGAATTTAGGATGGCAGATTGATAAACATGAAATTTCGTATTTTAAAAGACAATTACTGGATTTTTTTTGGAAAAATTGGATATTAGTTGAGTTGTATGAAATCAAATGAGTTTAGTTTGAAATGTAAGAGAGTTTTCTTTGCAATTTTGGAATAAGTAAACAATTTTTTTGTTTCCCTGAGGAAAGTGACATCCCATATCCACAAACCGTAGAATGAAAGAATTTATTAATTAAAAGAAAATTTTGAGGAAAAGACGATGATTTTAGTTCAGAAAATCAAAATCATTTACACTAATAAAATTTCCACTAAGCAAACTTCTAACAAGTAAATCGTTGTTTAATGGTAGAGTCTATTCATTTCTGTTAACAAATTCATAGCGGATATTAGAATGGGTATTTCAGCAGGGCATGTAAATTAACAATTAATTTTCTCGTTAGAAGTTCATACGTGTGGTGGTTGCCTCCTGATCCATAATTCAACGGCAAAGGGATAATAGCCAACAAAGCATTTCGGTTATTAATAATTGCAACAGCAGATTCGGTCATCTACATATTATAGTTAGAATTTATCGACATCGATGAAAATAAGTCTTATAATTAGTATAGCCATTTTGTTGTGGTAAAACGTGGTAAAAAGTATAAGTTTTGAAAGGTTTAACTTTTGCTTGATGCCTGAAACGTATATGATAACTCTGACATACATGAAATGAATTCCATGATTCAGTTTGGTTAAATTTAGTATAAATGATGCATGTGTATATACTGTATCACTAAAACAAAGACCAAGCCACGTAGACCCAAAGTGCAATTTTATACATTTTTTATTTTGTAAAAAAATCTTCATTTTTCCTAAGGGTCCAGTCGGCAAAGAAATTTTTATTCCGGGTTCCACCAAGGCTTTCTTACGATTCTGATTAAATCTGCTACATTTTTCTATTGGCATTGATAAGTATTTTTGGGGTTTTTGATTTAGATTATCAGAGTTTAAATATAATTAATCAATGTAATACTATTTGATGAATCATGTACATAATTATTTAAATTGAGCGTATTATTACTTTGTTGCTTAGTACAATAATAATAAAAAAACATCCATGTGAGTATAGATTGAACTATATCTGATAAACATTTTATAAAAACCAGTTAGTAATGATAAATAATATCTATGCCCACAAATTGTCTAATTAGTCAGAGAAAATAATAGACCTTTGCTCTTGATGCAAATTAACATTTAAAAAAAATAATTGTCGCACTTTGACTTGATGATAATATTGCAAATTTAAATGAACTACTCGTACTCTATATATTACATATACATTATATATATTACACTTGTGTCTTAAAAATTTTAAAATTAAATTTTGGTGTGTGTAAAAAAAAATTATACTAATATTTGTTTGTTCTATTTAATCCACAAAACATATTATTTTTTTTATATGTGTATCATATTAAAAAAAAATTTTGTTACATGCATTTTAACTACTCACATTTATTTATTTAAATCAAAATATTTCAAGAACATCGCACAAAATATTACTAATGAATGATCCTATTTTTTATATATTAAAAATTTTTTATAAAAATATGTTTGTGCAAAGTATAAAAAACAACAACACTTATCTACACCATAAATAGCACTGTTGTCTCCCGGCAAGATCAATATGAAGAAACACGTGTGTTTAGCACCAATAAAACGCAGTTTCATAACAAAATCATCTAATTTAAAATTTAATCCTCTAAAATATCAATAGATCTCAATAAACCCACAAAAACTAGATCGTGATCGATCTGTTTTAAATAATTGTGAACTTAAGCCGGTCCATCGCGACCTTGGCCGCTACTTTCACGAGAAAGTTTCATCATCAAAATAAATATGTAAAAAAATAGTTAGCGTAGATTGACTTTGACTCGGATTTCAAGTCTCAACTGGGCCACCGTTCAATTATGAAACACAATTAACCAACCTATCACGAATATTATTATCGGTTTTAATGTCACTAAACTCGAGACAGACGAAATCGATAGTAGTAAAATGAATTTGAAGAATTTGGACAATTCCAATGGTAAACCAAAATTTATATACAGGTGTAAATGTAATTTTGTCCTGAGGCAAGTTGCATGAACTTTTTGACATGTGTAAATAATCAATTTATACAATAAAGGTTTGATTTGTATATGGTCTACCTGTCTAACAGTTTACACTGGTTTATCTGATTAAGTACCAACCTGTCTAAACTTCTACCTGTTAAGTTGCCCACTTGTCTACTTTTGGACCATCCTGTCTGTTAATTATTAATATAAGAATATCTGTAATATTTTTTTATAGCTAATTAAGTCAAAATGATTCAATTTTGTTATACATGATTTGAACTAATGGATCAGAAAAACTATGAAAATCATTTATCAAAAGTCAATAATATTGTTACAAGACTCTTTTGCTAATGAATCTGTTTTTCATTATGCAACAATAATTATATATTCCATATTCAATTGAATTGTATGACACATAGAAACAGAATCATCATTCACTAATTATTATTCCTAGTGCTCAATCATTTTCTTGCGTCTCAAAATGCATAACAAAATGAATAAATAAGTAACACATGCAGTTCTGAAAAATACTAGATTTATACTTTGTTCAAAATCATGACTTTTAATTACTATTCAATTTAATAAAAAATATTATAAAAACTTGTAATTATCAGAAGCACTATGAGATGGGTTCCTGAGAATTTTATATTCAAAGCAAAAATTCTGATAAGTGGACATAAAAAACGATGAAAGAATGATTAAATGTTATATTTTTGTTACATACAAAAACGTTTAAATTTAGTATTATTACTCTGAATTTCAAGTATGTAATGAATAAATAATCATTTTTATAGTGGTATTACTTAACTGAATTCTAATTATAATAACTAAAAGAAATGAATGAGAAATTTATATACAATTTTTTTTATACAATATATTTTTTTATTGACACTTATGTCGAAAATGTGTTTCTTCCTTACTAAAGTATTTGTTGTAAACTTATTATAATTATAACGTTTATTAAATATTTGGCACAAAATCCGTTGTGGAATAATTTTTTATTGTACTTATGAAAATGTTTTCTTTTTTTATTATTTATAGTGCGTACGAAGCAAAATTTTATTATTTCATAATTTTATGATTTTATAATTATATAGATGAAATTTAATTGTCTATGTCTGCAAATTTATTACAATACCCAAATCACGTATAAGAAAATAAAACATTTTTAAGGCACAACCACTTCTATAATTACTTAGCATGATTCTTTCAAGTTAAACTCATTTTTGGTAATTAGATAATACATGAAGTATGTTATTTTAACATTTTTATTACTACTTTTTCATAAATTTTCCAGCAATAAATGCATATAAGTATTAGTTTATTACGCATTTTTTAGTATCAAAAACATTCAAATATTTGACCAATATAACTGCTAATTTACAGTATGTAATGGTCAGCATTTTTAATATTTACCGATGAGTGTTATGTAAATTTCGGAGACGAATACAATAGCTTGTTTATTCTTCAATGTGAGACAAGGCCGATTATTGATAAAAGTCCATTTTTGACCAAAAAAATCAAGATGCTTTTTTGTATTTGAAAATATGTAGAAATTACAATAAATAGTGTGAGTATATAATCTAATTCTGCCAAAATAGTTTGTATTAGAAAAACCCTTCTACAAAGCTTCAAATAATCGCATAGTTAACTAATAACCCTCCAATTACTTATTATCGACGCGTAGGACAATCGTATTCCAGACAATTAGACAGATTTCAATAGTCCGTTCAAGGATCTCGATATTATGCATCATTACATGAATTTCAATGAATATCGTCGTGTCGAATACATCATTCATTAGGTTAGGTTATCGACTTCATTACATCTTCTATTGTATCCGCTTGTTAAAGGCAAGGACAATTCTTGTTATGTAACGGGGTTGCGGGTGGCAAATTGCCATAGGCGCAATCACTTCAAGGCCGACTTCGACGACGACGGAGCCGCTGGACCGAGAACCGACAACCCAGAACACGGGCTAGGTTGCCGTTAGGAAAATAGATGCTGGGAGAGCGGGCTAAAACGATTCAAAGATTGATTTAGGAATAAACAAAATGTAGTTAACAAGAAAACATCGATGTAATAATAATTAGTAGTGGTGCATGGCATTGTGCCTTAAGGCAAATTGCTTGAACTTTTAAAAACATTGTCAAAAACTAACAGCAAATTAGCACGTCTCCCCGTCAATACGAATTAAATGTTTTCAGAATTATTAAAATCGAGCGAAAAATTTTACCCAAACATACATACACACACTTATATATCAATTTTTCCTAAGAAACGTGTAGATACGCAAAAATTTTCACTCTTGATTTTTTTGCGATTACTATAACTTACCCTACGGAAAATTAACTAGCTGTTGGTCAAAGTTGTTTAAAGGCAAGTTGTATAAAGTTGCTTGTATAAAATTCAGTTATTTTAGGTAAAATGTTCAACTGTTATTTATAAATGATAAACTTTTCGCCTTTACTAAAAATCATCAATACGATTTCCAACTCATGTCTTTCAAACATAAAATCTGTAGTTGTATAATTAATTTGTTAACGCGTTTCATTTCATTCATTCCAAGTTCTAAAAATGTATTTTATTCAAGTGCGGACGTCAACTGTAATCAGTAGCTACTTACGAAACAGCATAGAACGTACATATGCACCACAGGCATAGATTCTGATTAGAATTACTTAAGCGCAATGCTTGATTCCGAACTTCAAAAAGTATTCATAATTATATTTATAACGATTTGCTTCCAAATAATTGTGCATATTTTTACTTCATTATTAACTCAATATATACTTGACTATATATATGTGTAGTAAACAAAATTCTACATTTATATTTCTTCTTATATTCCAAGAAGATGTGCAAACTACATCCACTAAAAATCTGTATACTTATTCGGAATATTTTTTTTAATTTTTTAGGTATTTTTTATATATAAATTTATTTCAATCCCACTCATTTAGATTCTTTATTTAAAATTAAATTGATACTGGTAACTTCTACTTCTTGTTATTTATTTGTTGGGTCCACTAACAGCTATAAATGATATGACAAATAAAAAATGTTTTTTTATTAACTAAAATCTTTGTTCTCAACTTATGTTAATAGCAATAAACATAAAAAATGTAATTTATTACAATATTTATAAATCTTTGCTGTAATGTCTATTGTGGTAATATTTTTTATTATGATCGTGGAAATGTTTTTTATTGTTATAATAATTATGCTATCCACAAAGCAAAATTTTACAGTAACATATGTTTAAAAATCAATTATCATAATATTTAAAAAAATAAAACTTAATCGGTACACATGTTCTAAGAAATTTTTCTCTAACAGATCAAACTCTAGCAAAAAAATTATTTATACCACAAACATATCTCTATAAAATTTTGATATTTATTCATATTCAAATTACAATTTTAGTCGAAGTAATAATTGATGCGACAAGTAATTATGGACAATTCGTCAGAACGTGTTTCTCAAAATACGTATAATTGTCAATTAAGATGAAAATAAAGGAGCAGAACCGTCTAGACTGCTCGAGTACTATACAAAAACTGTTTTCTATGGAGAATGTATAAATCTTAAAGCTAATTGAAATTCTGGTCTTTGTTAATCAATTAATTATATTAGAAGACAGATAGCAAAAATTTAAGAACTACTGGGGCGCATGGCATCGTGCCTTAAGGCAAATTGCTGGAACTTCCCGTACCAATTTTTTTTTTTTAAAGATTAACATTTTTGAAAAAAATTTACTCTAAAAAATTAGATTTTTGAGAAACTATAAATTTTTGACAAAAATTTACTTTGTTTTTAAAAAAAGACTTTTTGAAGAAAAGTTGATTTTGAAATATTTTGTAAATTCTGAACTTTTTTTCAAAGCTTTCGCCGCGTCGCCATCTAACGCATAAACATTGGTACGAAACTTATAGGAATGTAAACAAAATTCATACTTATTGTTAAAATTTCTATAAAATATCTGATAATTTGATGTGCATATGTCTAATGATCATCTTTGACCGCCAAATGGCATTTTTTTTTACTTTTTTTACTAGATCTTCGAAACCGCTTGACCTTCCTTTATGAAAATTTGACCAGTTCTTCATCTTGTCAATACAAGTAAAAAGTTTTTTGAATTATTAAAATCGGACCCTTTGTTCTCTTAAAAAATGAGTCACCATTTTTGGCACTTTTTGCCCCGTATCTTCGGAACGGCTAGACCAGCCTTTGCCAAAAACTAATCAGCATGTCTCCATATCAATACGAATCGAATGTTTTTTGAATTATTCAAATCGCTTCATCCGTGTTCCCGAAATCCTCGACGAAAATTTGTATCCGCACACACATACACACACGCACACATACATCCATTTTTCTAAAGTATGCCAAAATATTCAGAAACCTCTGAAACGTAAAGATATATAAAAAAAAATATTTTCGATTTTTTGCGATTACTATAACTTACCTTACGGGAAGTTAAAAACAAATCAATTAGTGAACTTTTCTTACATCACAAAAATGAATTCAATGAAGTACTATTATTGTTCTATGAGTACCAATGCCCAACTATAACGTCATTAATTAATATACAACATTCCTGAGATATCGCTAAAACAGCTATATAATTGCAGGTATAACTTTAGTTCACTAATTGCATTTTTATCCCCCTCAGGATTCTGTAGGGTTTATTAAAAAAAAAATTAGAGTTCTGTGACCCGCATTTGTCTAAACAACCTATAACCTCTACAAAAACTGTTTATCTGACTATTAGACAACAATAATTTAATTAAATAATATACAATATTCCTAAGATATTGCTAAAACAGCTATATAATTGTAAGTATAACTTCAGTTTACTATTTGCATTTTTATCCACCTCAGGAGTTATTCTATAGGGTTTGTTAAAAAAAAAATCGAGTTTTGTGACCCGCATTTGTCTAAACAACTTACAACCTCTATAAAATCTGTTTATCTGACTATTAGACAATAATAAAAATTTCTCTGACGTTTTTCCCCAAACCAAGAGCATCGGAGTCCGGCAAAACACCAAAGACCTGGCCCGTATGAAGTAATTGCCGTTGCCGTTTAACGCGATTGTCAGCGATATAAAAGCGCAAAGTGGGGTGCACCTTACTCATTGAATCTCTCACGTACACCTGAAACTATCTCGAGACTCAGGTCGATCGGTTTTCGTATCATTTACACATCTAATATAGACGAATCTATGATTAATTGATAGAGAAATATATAGAGTATTTAAATTTAAATCATCTGGTTAAGATTGAGTGAAATTTAAAAAATAAATAGACTTTTGGAATAAAATTTACAAAATGATTAAACAAATAGTGGTACTTGTTGCTGTTGCAGTTGCTGTGTATTGTGATGATGATCAACGTGAGTACAAAAATTAAAATACTATTAGTATTGAAATTTTAATAAAAAAAATCAAATATTACTCAAAATGTAAGAATTTTTTTCATTATATGGTAAGTTTTACACCTGTCCTGAAATGGACAATAAGTTAGAAAACAAACTTTAAAAATACAAAATCTTCTCACCATTGTTAGAGATTCCTAAAATTTACTTATTTTACATGCCCTTTTCATACAATGTCCCTTTTCGAACGACTATTGTAAATTCATCAAATTTATTGAATGTTTTTTACTGGACAGTTGTAAATAAAAGAGATAATAATAAAAAAAAATATTTATTTTTCAACTCTGCCCTTGTAGTTTTCTGACAAGTGGGACAAAATATTATTTTACCCAAATACAATATTTTTAGAAGAAACGTGTATTTTCTAAATAAAGTATTTTACTTTTCAATATTTTCAATATTGTTAATTATTTATAATTTGCGACAAATAAAATGTTTGTGGTATACAAACTAAAAACTAATACGTTGTTAATATTATAAATCCACTTTTCTCAATTTATTACTATTAACGTTTTACAACTATATTACTTACTTCACGTTATTTCTTAAAAAATGTTAATTTTATTATTAGTATGTCAAATCAATTATATCACAGTATAATAAATATTGTAAAATGTCTTTTGAATTATTAAAATCGGACGCTCCGTTCTCTTAAAAACTGAGTTTTCATTTTTGGCACTTTTTGCCCCGTATCTTTGGAACGGCTAAACCTGCCTTCGCCAAAAACTAATCAGCACGTCTCCTTATCAATACGAATCGAATGTTTTTTGAATTATTCAAACCGGTTGATCGGTATTCACGAAATCGTCGACGAAATCGTTGTATCCGCACACACACACATACACGCACATACACACACATACATCAATTTTTTCTAAGGTATGCCAAAATGTTCAGAAGGTTTTGAAACGTTAAGATATATAAAAAAATTCATTTTCGATTTTTTTGCGATTACTATAACTTGACCTAAGGGAAGTTAATAATTACGGTATAAAATTTAATATTTAATGATGCCTCTTATACCAACCCCAAACCTCTTAACTTGTTTTAATTTTCCTAATGAGGCAATAATTTTTATTAGACAATATGAAAAACATAGGTACAACTTTAAGAGTATTCTTTGTTTCAATAATAAACTATACGAAAAAATTAGTAAAATAATTCACGAAGCAAGTAATTATTTTTTATCCTTGTATATACTTGTATTTACTAATATTTATTATTTAGTTTAATATTTAAAAAATATTAGATAAAACATATAATCCTTTAGAATAATATTATGTTTAGTTAAATTGATATTAAATTAATTAAATTATTATACTCATGACAAGTAAAAAGTAATTCGCTATATTTTATAAAAAATAACTAAATAGCCAATATTTTTACGCAATATGCACAAAAATATTTAATTGAAGTATTAAAGATGGCAAACTTATATATTGATTTTTTAAATATAATTCTATTATACAATATTTTTTTCTATTATACACTAAAATGACCCATTATTTTTATCGTTTTATGTACTCAATATGTTCAAAAAATGAAATTATATAACTCTGTTCTAAATATATAAATATATTATAATCACGTATTTAAATTAGAACATAAAATATATCCATAAATAATTCTTTTATATCTATCCACATTATAATGAACGTGTATAATTACATTCTATGTCGTTGTTCTGTTTTGTTTTAATTATGAGTTAAAAAAACGTATATAAAAATAAAAACCAACCCCCATATATGTATTCATATTCTCATATAATCGTTAAACCAAAATAATGACGTCCACAACAACATACGTTTTTGTTCATTTATTTGCATAAAATTTAATTAAATTTTTAATTACTAGTAGGAGTAGTAGGCTACCACTTTTCACATAATTCTTGTTGATACTGCGTGTATATTTAATTAATTTTTAAAGTGGAATTGAAATTTCAAAAGGAGAAAATTAAGTAGTAAAATATTGTGGTCGTAAGTAAAAAAAAAACGAGCTCATAGGTTAATTTATAAAGAGACTATGAAAAGATTGAAATTTGCTATCTAACGTAACATATTATATATTATTCTTCGTGTTTAATTTGTCATCGATAAATTTGAACTTATGCAAAATATTTATTAATTCCTAATTAAACTTCAAAATATGAAATACCAAAAAATTGATTCTACCATCTCTATCACTTTTACCACTATTTTTATCATCAAAGTGACTAACAAGACGTCCTATTTAAAACCTAAGACGTAGAAGAATTCTATCTTTAATCATTTATCTCGTTAATTGAACAGTCTATATAAGATTCCTATGTCTTGGCAAGATTTATTTATTCCTGCCACGATGTTCGACTAAAACTGTAAATTGAAGAAGTCGACAAAACCCCAAGGGTAAAGAATAAGTAGATCGAGATTATAAATGTAGACATTTGGTATTTAATTTTATAAAATAAAAAGTCTTTGTGATAATTAAATTTGATGAATTTAATTAAATTAAATTAATTGCATTGTTATCACATTAAATTTTTCTTGAGCAATATGGTAATTAAGTAATATGATGCAATATTCAATTGAAATGGCTGTAAGGAATTCAAATTTAAAGTTGGTAATATACATCATAAAATTATTTGTTGTTTAGTAATTAATTAATTTAGTTTAGTAATATTGAAGTATAAAATATCAATCAATTTATAAAAAACAATCTAATTCTAAAACTTTTTTACTCTTTAGTACTCAAACTCATTATTACTAAATATTTAAATTTATCTGAGAATGTTTAAAATATTACAAAATTAAAAACAGAAATTTAATACAAAGGAATAGTAAGAAACTAATGTACAAAAATTAATAGCCAACGCATAATATATAGGTGTGATCTGGCAATGATGATTATATAATTTACATTATCATTAACCCAGTGAATTAATTTCCATTTAACTATTCATTTTATTCATCTGCCTGATCACTGAATCATACTCTATTAAATTCTACTTCATGAAAATACGATAATTATTTTGATGTTATTTTTAAAAATTTAATCAGTACGTAAATTCAATATTAGTTTGTAAAATTTTAGTTTATATCAAATTGACACGAATCAATCAAAATCATATCACCATAAATTGTTCAGGAACGGAATTTCAACATGTTTTATTTATTAAAACACAGCTAAAACAATTTTTTTAACTCTGTTTTATTCAGCAATCAGAAATACATGAGGATTCCTGTAAGCTAAATTGGCAATATTTGAGAGCGATGTCTAAGAAGAACTCCAATGAGATCTTCTTAGTTTAACAATTGAAAAGATAATGTTATATTGAAGCTAATGTAAGACTAAATCTAAAGGTGACGTTTCAATCATCTTACGCCAAATGGTTGGGTAATGTCGCTTATTATGGGTTTATTGATGGGTTTGAATATGATTCCAGTTTACATTTGTATTTTTCCTTAAATTCTTTGAACGTTAATTTTTTTACTTAGTTTTCTGCATTATAGCTATATTTGATTTGTAAGCACATCCCCACAGCTCAATTCCGTAGGTCCACATTGGTTTAATGATTGATTTATTTAGCAGCAACTTATTTTCAACAGAGAGCTTAGACTTTTTATGCAGTAACTAATCTTTTTTTTTCATTTTGATCATTATTTGGAATCTGGACGTTATTTAAATAAATTGGAGAATATTTACCCTCTCTCGGGGTAAAAGTGATATGAGCTGATTCGGTTTCATTTATGCAAATCTTCCATTTGGTAAGCCACATTTGGTTTGTAGTTTATTGATATGTTTTTGCGTTTGTCGGGAAGCCTGATCAGCACTGTGATTACTGCTTAGTATGGCAATATCTTTATATTATTATTACGTAATATTGTCTATTTATTTTACGTCAATATTGTTTTGGAATGGAGGTTTAACCCTTTCCACTCGCAAAATCCGAGATTCACAATAATATATACGGTAATATTTTTACTGGAAATGAGGGTGTTGGTTAAAAAGTTTGGGAATCATTTCTGTAGAATATTCAAATAACATACACCACCAAATGACAATTCCAAACGACTATACAGCATCTAAGACTTTTACCACGAGTCGTAACAATCGCGTGAAAGTACCAATCACAGAATCAATAGAATCTCGTAAAAACGATTTTTCCTCAATCAATCAGCATAATCGACGTAATATATAATATTAATGTACCCGGTAAGGTACGAGGGCAGCCAGCCGGCAAAAGTGGCTCCGAGTGCAGCGAACAAATGCACTTTCTATTGAAAGCGAAATCTTGAACGAGGCTGACCGCGTTTCAGGTCATACACTCGCGCTCTATGTGTGTTCGTCTAGGGATCATTTGATAGAAAATACATGGGAATTGATAATTAATTACTTAATATAATAATTTTTTTTTTTATTGAAATATATTTAAATGGAGAAAATTACTAGCTACAAATTGACGTTTATAATTCTAGCACATCTGTTCAAATCTTTAAAAAAAAAAATGTTTGATTCGCATAAAAGCTCACAAAATGGCAACAACCATTCAGTTATTAATGACAAAAAAAACAAGTGCGGTACATGGCACCGTGCCTTAAGGCAAATTGCAGGAACTTCTCGTACCGTAATGAATTGTTCTAGGAGTACTTAATGTTTTCAAATAGAATATTATTAATATTGTAACATTGTCTAACATTTTATAGGAATTATATAAACTGAATTGCAATTATTTGTTTAAAATATATTAGAACTTTAGGTCAGAATTAAAATTAAAATCCGAATTATTTTTTTGTTAATATAAGCAGAAAATTCTTTGAATCATTTAAATCGGACGCTTAGTTCTCTCAAAAACTGTCATTTTTTGCACATTTAGCTCTGTATCTTCGAAATGGCTAGGCCTGCCTTCGCCAAAAACTAATCATCTCTTCTCCCAATCATTACAAATTGATTGTTTTTAGGTCATTCAAATCGGATGCTCT